AATACATGCGGGCATTGATAGCAATGGTAATTTTCAACAAGTTCTAGGCTTTAACAGAGATTTACCGATAACCAAATAGGGCTACCACAGCTGTTCGGACGAATTCACTTTTTTTTGTTGCCCAGACCATTTTATTTCAGATCAAATTTTGAGGTTGGTTTAAAAACAAAAAAAATTTATAAAAGAGCACAAGCTCAATTGCCATGGTAACGGCGTCAAATTCATGTCAATTCATCAATAAGTCACCTTTTAATACCCGTACTCAAAAAAGAGTTAAGGGGTATAGTTAATATAGTTAATGGGGTTTCCGACCCCATAAAGTATATATATTCTTGATCAGCATCAATAGCCGAGTCGATATAGCCATGTCTGTCTGTCCGTCTGTCTGTCTGTCTGTCCGTCTTGTTGAGCGCCTAGATCTCAGAGACTATAAAAGCTAGGGCAGCCAAATTTGGTTGCCAGGCTCATGTGATATCACACTGCTACAAGTGTATTTCAAAATTTCGCCCCGCCCCCATCCGCCCCCACAAAGGACGAAAATCTGTGGCAGGCACAATTTTAAAGATACGATAAAACGATAAAAACGCAGTTTCGTAGAGAAAGCCCATATCTACCAGATTGCAGAATCTGAATCAGATCGGATCATAATTATACCCAGAATGAAGAAATTTATTTTCTGTTGGTTCTTCCGCCCCCTCTTCACAGAGACCCGCTACCTATCTCTTTCTCGCTCGCACGCTCTGCCGCGTTCAGTGCGCGTGCAAACCCTAGCGGAGAAGATGTAGAATCTAAATGGAACATATACAATCTACATGTTAGATGTATAATATACATTGTAGATGTAGATGTAGATAGCAAATGTAGCAAACAAATGTAAAATGTAAAATTTTTTTTTTTATTCTAAAAAATCATATGCTCAAAAATGTATATACTGACTGAGTACGGGTATAAGTAGAGTCGCGTCTCCAGAAGCGACTCGCACGTTCCTTCTCGGTTTATGTATGTTTAACCACTAACCACCCAAAAATAGTGTATTTTCTTTTCGTGGTAGCAACCCCAAACATTAAACTAAACATCTAAAAAAAATTTATATTTTTATTTACTAACAAAGAATAAATTAAGGGGGTGTACGCTTGAAAAAAAAATTGTTTGATGCAATTACGGCACAGCCTAATGTACATATGTAACACTCTGTTATACATATATATACACACATATAAAGGCGCGTACATGTACGTAGTGACATAAACAACTAATGTTTATGTTATACATTCCTTTTGCACAGCACCGATCTGCGACTTGAACGCAGATCGGTCAGCTACCAAAACTACTGATCAGGCAGGCATTTACTCGAACTCAGGCATAACCCAAACGCCTTAACACTGAGGAGACCCATCGGCATCGTTCGTGTAAATGCCTGATCAGTAGTTTTGGTAGCTGACCGATCTGCGTTCAAGTCAAAAACCCACTCTCAAAAACCCACTTAATGCTGATTATGTATTTCCATTAGACTCAGGCAGAGACCACGCGCACTACTAATTATGTGGTGGTACTCTTTTCATATGACATATGGGAAACTCTCGCTCTCCGTTATACATAAGAACACTTGTACCCTAGGCTGGCAAAAATATATTCAATAAATATTCTGAATAAAGCCAACAAGCTGAGCGGTCTTGTTAACAAGGCAACCTTGACATTTGTACTCGACACCTAACTCAAATCATATTTGTAAATGATCTTCAACTGTCCGTGTGCATTAAAATCAATCAACGTATAATTGATAAAAGTCTGTGGCCATGGCAAAGGAACTTTTTAATCGTGTGATTGCGTTATTGTGTGCCGTGCTATGGTGTTACTGCTGCGTATTTACAATGATGAAAAACTGGACCCAATATAATGGGCCCAACAAAAAATAAATCCAAAAAAGAGTTGGAAAGAAGAACTAGCACTGGAACAAAAAGGACAGCAACAGCAAAGAAAGATCTTAAACCATACCAAAATAACAAAAGAAGTGCCATGGAGACTGCACAGGGCCACTTTACAGCCCTACGTGCAACAACACTTATATGGGTGTTGCCAAAACGGAAAGAGATGACCAGCGCCGGCTGGTCACTACCCGACACGATTTTTCCAAACCAACTAACTCTCAGCAGCAGCAGATGGCGACGCCTCCTGTGCCGACCACCGTGAAGACAGACTGTTTAAAAAACAATATTTGTTTTATATTTATGAAAATTAATAAAAATAATATATTATATAGAATTGATTCTATTTGTCTTTATTATTTAAATATTTCATTTGGTTTTTGTTCTCATACTGCAATGTTTGCTTAGTGTTTGCTGGCAAAATATATCAAAATGATATAACTTTCGAGGTTGGTAGAAACATACCAGCAGTTTCGGATCTGAGTACTAGGCTTTAAGAGAAAAAAAAAAGTTGGATTTTGTCGAGTAGTGTTATCTATGGACAATAAATGGATACCGATAACAAAAGCAATTATAAGGATTAGAGCAGAATTTGATAAATCTTTTAAATGTTTAAATAAAAATATGCCTATCACAATAAAAACTTTAATTAAGCATACAGAAATACTTATTGCACAATATAATAAAATAGTAGTTATCTATTAAAATTGTCAAGAAAGCCTATCAGATTTACATGAAACCCAAATTATAGATGTATTAGCAAACCTACAAGAAAAATTTATTAAAATCAGTACAATACATAGCTTGCAACTTTCCTTACCAAACAATAAGACCAGTCTAGCCTGATTTGATAAATCATTTCTGCCCGATAAAAGATATATAGAAGAAGAGACAATACGAGAAATATCACAAATAGAACCAACAATGGCACAAACTTGCCAGTAAATATCCAACCCAAAAAGCTGTAAAAGCTATGACAAAGAATTGCTCCATTAAATAAGTTAAACTTATCATGGAAGCGTGACTGCTCGACTGCTTTTTATATCTGTATATCTGTGTAAGCGGGTATCTCCGCAACGCGTGCACTAAATTGCATGCTTTTTTTTTAAATGATAGCCAGAGAATGTGACCTGGTTTGCACAAACAAATTTGTACTTTTCCATAAATAGGTTCCTCAAGAATTAAAAATGAATCAAAACGAGAAGGAACGTGCGAGTCGCTTCTAAAGACGCGACTCTACTTATACCCGTACTCAGTCACTATATAAATTTTTGAGCATATGATTTTTTAGAATTTTAGAATTAAAAAAAAATATTTTACATTTTACATTTTTTTGCTACATATGTTATCTACATCTACATATATTATGTATATTCTACATCTAACATGTAGATTCTACATGTACCATTTAGATTCTACATCTCCTCCGCTAGGGGTTGCTCGCGCACTGAACGCGGCAGAGTGTCCGAGCGAGAAAGAAAATGAGTGGCGTTGTCGTTGGCAGGAGGGGGCAGGGGAGCCAACTGATAATTAATTTCTTCATTCTGGCTATAATTATGATCCGATCTGATTCAGATTCGGCAGTCTGGTAGATATGGTCATTCTCTACGATAATGCGTTATTAATTTTATCGTATCTTTAAAAATGTGCCTGCCACAGATTTTCGTTCTTTGTGGGGGCGGAAGGGGGCGGGGCGAAATTTTGAAAAACACTTGTAGCAGTGTGATATCACATGAGTCTGGAAACCAAATTTGGTTGCCCCAGCTCTTATAGTCTTTGAGATCCAGGCGTCAAACAAGACGGTCAGACGGTCAGACGGACAGACGGACAGACAGACATGGCTCTATCGACTTGGCTATTGATGCTGATCAAGAATATATATACTTTTTGGGGTCGGAAACGTTTCCTGCTCTGTGTTACACACATCCATTTTTACCACAAATCTAATATACCCCTTAACTCTTTTTTGAGTACGGGTATAAAAATCTTAAATTTGGTCCAAAAGTGTGTGTTTGAACACCTATTATGCGGCATTATTTCTTTACAAAAGTTTTCACTTTTCTATAAATAGCTTCCACAAAAATTAAAAATTAATCAAAACGAGAAGGAACGTGCGAGTCGCTTCTGGGGACGCGACTCTACTTATACCCGTACTCAGTCAATATATATATTTTTGAGCATATAATTTTTTAGAATTTTAGAATTAAAAAAAAAAAATTTTACACTTAACATTTTTTTGCTACATCTGTTATCTACATCTACATATATTATGTATATTCTACATCTAACAAGTAGATTAAACATGTACCATTTAGATTCTACATCTCCTCCGCTAGGGGTTGCTCGCGCACTGAACGCGACAGAGTGTGCGAGCGAGAAGGAAAATGACTTGCGTTGTCGTTGTCAGGAGGGGGCAGGGGAAGCGACTGAAAATTAATTTCTTCATTCTGGCTATAATTATGATCCGATCTGATTCAAAATCGGCAGTCTGGTAGATATGGTCATTCTCTACGATACTGCGTTTTTAATTTTAGCGTATCTTTAAAAATGTGCCTGCCACAGATTTTCGTCCTTTGTGTGGGCGGAAAGGGGCGGGGCGAAATTTTGAAATACACTTATAGCAGTGTGATATCACATGAGTGCGGAAACCAAATTTGGTTGCCCTATCTCTTATAGTCTCTGAGATCTAGGCGCTCAACAAGACGGACAGACAGACAGACAGACAGACAGACAGACAGACAGATGGACAGACAGACATGGCTATATCGACTCGGCTATTGATGCTGATCAAGAATATATATACTTTATGGGGTCGGAAACGTTTCCTTCTCTGCGTTACACACATCCACTTTTACCACAAATCTAATATACCCCTTAACTCTTTTCTGAGTACGCGTATAAAAAATCTCAAATTTGGTCAAAAAATGTGTGTTTGAACGCCTACTTCATTTCATTTTGTGTCATTCTGTAGAACAAATTTGGTCTAAAAATGTGTGTTTGAACGCCTATTTCATTTCATTTTATGTCATTCTGTAGAACAGAACATTTGATGATAGATTTTGTTTTTCATAACTTTTTGTGTGAAAATTTTTTTTCTGAAAAAATTGCAATTTGTGTAAGTATATTTGTTGCTTTTGAAAATGTGTGCGTTTTAAGCCAATCTGTGTGGTTTTTAAAGTTAAATTTCGAGACGATTAAATTTGGGTCGGCGAACGCAAAATTCGATTCAAGTTGTGGCTTCAAGGAGCCGTGAAAGTAGCCAAGACATTACACATTGCAATGAAAATAATCGTCTACGCACAGCAAGGTCCCGTTCAAATCAACGGAACAATGATGCAACAACAACTGCAAATGAACGTCGTGATATTCAAAATCTACAAGGTATTGCGTTCGCGTACAGTAGTGTCACCAATTACGCTTCTCATAGGCAAATTATAATTGGTCCAATGAACGACCGTTGTCGCCATTGTAAGGCATTAAAATTTAAAGGTGAAGCAGATGGGATGTGCTGTGCGAGTGGTAAAGTGAAATTGCCTGAATTGGGCAGCCCACCACAACTATTGAGCACATTACTTAATGGATTGAAACCTGAGTCTAATCATTTATTGAAGAATATACGAAAGTATAAGTCCAGTTTTCAAATGACATCTTTTGGCGCCACAAATATTATAAGAGACAACTTGCTAGCGTTCAAGGCAATTAAATAGTTTTATTTATGCAAATTGTACGTTTGTTCTCATTCTATCATATATTTTATTCAGATTCCAGGTCAAATATCGAGCTGGCTCTTTGTTACCTTTCGACAACGCAGACCACCAATTTTTGCAATTATATTTTATCGGGAACGCGGAAGACGAAGCTGATCGTCGGTGTGCCATTATTACCAACACGCGGAGACAAATTATTTTCGATTTGCAAAATATGTTCCATGAGCACAACGAATTGGTTCAGGTTTTCAAAACATCACTTGATCGAATGCCATCTGACGATCATAAAATTGTTATTCGAGCTGATAAAATACCGGTTGGCGAACATGCAAGGCGTTTCAATGCACAAACAGTTGAAGTGGCAATAGTCATAGTTGGTGAGCAATGTAATAATCGTGATATTGTGCTTCATCGTAGAAATGAACAACTTGAACGTGTATCCGAGACTCATCGCTGTTATGATGCACTACAATATCCCATATTGTTTTGGGATTGTTTTGTTTTGTTTAATTTCAACATTAAAATGATAAATCCAGTAAACGGTCGAGAAGGAAAGTTAGTGCTATGGATTATTACGCATACAGGCTGCAGATACGGCAAAATCAAGACAACCACATATTGAGGTGTAGAGCACTTTGCCACCAGTATATTGTTGACATGTATGCAAAAATTGAATCGAAACGATGGTAATGCACAACACGTTGGAACTATGATAATATTACCGTCATCGTATGTTGGAAGTCCACGTCAAATGTTTGAGTACGCGCAAGATGCGATGTCATACGTTCGCCGTTACGGTCGACCAGAGCTCTTCATCACCTTCACGTGTAATGCGCAATGGGAATCTCGGAATTATTGTTTGTTGGCCAAACATCGAAAGATCGCCATGATATTTTAGCACGTGTTTTTAGACAAAAATTGAAATCACTCATGGATTTAATTGTCAAACACGGTGCATTTGGGTCTGTTCAATGTTGGATGTATTCAATTGAATGGCAGAAACGAGGTTTGCCTCATGCGCATATTTTAATTTGGCTGATTGAAAAAATAAGGCCGAATCAAATTGACGATGTGATTTCGGCAGAAATTCCAGATCCGACAGTGGATCCTGAATTTTTTGAAGTGGTCACCAAAAATATGATTTACGGTCCCTGTATGGTTGAAGGAAAATGCTCCAAACGTTTTCCAAAAAATTTGGTGTCCGATACAGTGACGGGCAACGATGGATATCCCGAATATCGGCGTCGATCAACTGAAGATAATGGCCATTCGGTAACTTTGAAAATTAAAAATCAAGAATTGGAGATTGATAATCGTTGGGTTGTGCCATATTCACAGTTATTATCTAAGATTTATAAAGCGCACATAAACGTAGAGGTCTGCAATTCAGTTCAATCTATTAAATACATTTGCAAATACATTAACAAGGGCAGTGATATGGCTGTTTTTGGAGCAGCTGCTAATGTTACCGATGAAATCACTCAATTTCAAATGGGCAGATACATCAGTTCAAATGAAGCAGTATGGCGCATATTATCATTCCCGATCCATGATAGGCATCCAACTGTAGTTCATTTAGCTGTTCATCTTGAAAACGGTCAACGCGTTTTTTTCACACCCGGAAATGCAATGCGAAGAGCTGCGCAACCACCAGCAATAACTCTAACTGCATTTTTTTCGTTGTGTCAAGCAGATGATTTTGCGAAAACATTGCTATACACCAAAGTACCCGAATATTATACGTGGAATAATTCGTCAAAAGTTTTTCAAAGGCGAAGACGCGGAAAAAGCCGTTCATGGTCAGCCAGTATTGTTTCACTCAAATGCGATGGGACGAATTTATACAGTTCATCCTAACAATCAAGAGTGTTATTATTTGCAATTGTTGCTAATAAATGTTCGTGGACCAACATCATTTGAATCTTTGCGAACTGTTGATGAAGAATTGTGTGGGATGTATCGCGAAGCATGCGAACGATTGAATATGCTTGAGAATGACATGCATTGGGATCTTACACTTGAATATGCAGCATTGTCATCAAGTCCACATCAAATTCGGACACTTTTCGCAATTATTATAGCCACGTGCAGTCCAGCAAAGCCAATTGAATTGGGGCAAAAACATCAAAATCATTTGTCGGAGGATTTTTTACATCGATTGCGCCGTCAAACGGGTGATATAAACACGGACTATCCGCCGGAAATTTACAACGAAGCATTGATTGCTATTGAAGACCTTTGCTTGATGATGGCAAGCAAAGCATTAGCTCAATTAGGTATGACAGCACCTGATCGCGTTCCTTTGTTGCCCATTGGGAAGGTTTGGTTAACGAATTTTAGCTCCAAAGTCTCTCCATAGATTTTAATGAGCGATACCTTAAACGACGCCAAATTAATGCTCCTATACACAAAAAATAGAGGACACAGGATATAATTTTTTTTCGACTTTTCCTGAGATTTATAGTCAAAATTTCGTAAAAAATACCGCACAAAAATCATCGTTTTTGCATTTCAATGCTTTATATTTCCCAGACGGTAAGCTGAAATCACAAAGTGTTTGGGCTCAACTTCTAGCTGCGTCAATTATCTTTTTAAAATAGCAAAGTTCTTTACAACCAGACGTACGATACTAGGGTTATGTGAAAAAAACAATCGCTACCTCTGAAAAAAGCTTAAAAAAAAAATACCAGACTTCAAAAATTCTTTAAAAAAAAGTTCTGCCATAGAAAAAAAAAAAAATATCAACAAACCATTTCTAAGCCCCAAATCTTTAAGAAAAAGTTCATTTTGTTCCTTGAGGAAAAATCGTGTTGACTAGTGTAATCAGACCAAAAAAAGATAAGAATGAACGATGATGAACCGGTATATATAAAAAACTACCGAATTCCCCACAGTCAAAAAGGTTATGGGCGCATAACCTATTCGTTGTATTTATTTGTGACTAAATATGAAGAGCAAAAACATGTCCGTCAAAGGCAGACGGAATACAAATCAAAAAGGGAAACGAGAGAACGCCGCTTCATTGCGACTCATACATACATGTTTACTTATGTTGGATAATGCATAACAGAAAGAAAAATAGAGAAGACACAGTGCGTTGTCTAAGTTTACATATTCAACAGGAAGTAATAAAGCAAGTAGAAGTCTCGGAATACAACAGTGCATTATTAATTATTCCGCAAAAATAATTACCGAATTCAGATAGTAAAAGATGTCGCCTAGTGATTGACTACCTCCAAGAAAAAAAAAAAGTTATCAGACTAATTTCCACTTCCCCTAATAGATGATATTCTTTATCAATTAGCTAGAGCTAAATACTTTTCATGCCTAAATCTGGTTTTCATCAAATATAACTTGAAAAAAGTTCAAGAAATATAATGTCATTTTCAACGAGCAATGGATCCCATCGCTTCACGCGATTACCATATGGTTTAAAATAGCGCCAAATTATTTTCGAAGAATGATTTTAATTTCATTTTCAGGTATCGAACCTTCTCAGGCATTCTTGTATATGGATGACCTCATTGTCGTCGGCTATTCTGAGAAATATATGTACCACCTTAAATTGCACCCTGAAAAGTGCTCATTCTTCAGGCACGAAGTAACCTTTCTAGGTCATAAGTGTACTGATAAAGGTATTTTACCAGACGATAAGAAATATGACGTCATAGAAAAATAACCAGTTCCAAAGGACGCAGATAGCGCTAGAAGATTCGCTGCATTTTGCAATTTTTATAGACGTTTCATTAAAATAACAAGATTTTGTATCAGCAAAGAATTTTGTATAACAACGGATGCAAGTAAATAAGCATGTGGTTGTTTTAACACAAAATTATAATGGAAATAAGCTACCTGTAGCGTATGCATCAAGATAATTTGCAAAGGGGGAAAGTAATAAAAACACAACAGAACAAGAATTAATTAATCAATAATAACCATTACAGACTTAACGAATATACAAACAACTAATACAGTATTAAAAGTATTACTACAAGAAAATCAAAGTAGACAAAATATATGCGCAGGTTCAAACACAGATGTGCAAAGGTAATCTTTCTCTTCAAAGCCCAATATATACAACGTCATACAAAATTATGTTAAAAAATTTGTCACCTTGCATTTATGTTTCACTAAATGTATCTGTAAGCATGGCAAAAAAGATAATTTAAGTTTAGCTAAAGTTAGTTAGCTAAAGTTTAGTTAAAGTTAGCTAAAGGTCGCTAGTGAAACCTTCGACTTACACTGACGAGCAAAACGAGCAATAACACGATGTCAGTAGTCTCATTTCAACGGTCTGTATCTTCTGTTCTCTTTTATGCATGCTGAAGATCTTAACCTTGTTTTGTTGGTGATTAAGTCTACTATGTTTTCTGAAAACTGCAGCTATATTTTAAATGAATATTTTTATTGAAATTTTTTTAGTAATGTGTCCAGATCCCTTTTGATTTTTTGAGTTTCTTGGCATACTTCTTTCTGTTTCTTTCTGCGATTTGGCATACTTTGGGTGTATCGTTGCACAAATTCAGGGGGTATAGAGTACCAAACGTCCTTTGTCCTCTCCCACAGCTCCCTCATTCCAGTTGGAGGGATCGGATATTTCGCCAGCTGCGATTAGACATGACTCCATAAATTTTCAATTAGGTTCATGTCTGGAGATTGTGGTGGCCACTTTATACATTGAAAATTTTGCTTCAATATCCAATTTTGTACCAAAATAGACGTGTGTTTTGGGTCATTGTCTTGCTGAAATATACATTTTTCGGCAGCAAGACCCATGTTCCCGATCGCATCTGGCAGATTCTGTTGCAGAATGTTTAAATACTGCTCTTTTCGCATTATGCCATCAATTAAAACCAAAGGACCAACTTTATTTTTATGTATATAGCCCCAAACCATTATTGAGCCACAACCGTGCTTAACGGATTGCCGCACAGTACTTGGGAACTGGATATTGGGATCTCTAGTCCAATACCAGGAGTGTCTGACTCAAAACGATTAATTTTTGTTTTATCTGAACCATATAAACTTATCCCACAATCCAGTCACCAGTCACCAAAACCAACTTAAAGTCAGCGCCATAGACGGTGGCGGTTCAATTATGGTTTGGGGGTGTTTTTATAAAAATGGATTTGGTCCCTTGGTGTTAATTGATAGAATAGTATGAAAGGAACAATATTTAAGCATTCTGCAACAGAATCTTCCAGAATATGGGTCTTGGTGGGACACACGTCCCTTTTGGTCAAAAATTGGGTGTCATGGGAAAAATTTAAGTATCCACCATAATCTCCCGATATAAATCTTATTTTAAAATGTATGGAACCATCTAAAATCGCAGCTGCTGAAATAAGCGGTCTCTCCAAGTGCAATGATGGAGTTGTGGGAGAGGAAAAGGATGTATGGTAAGCTATTCAACCTGCAATGGTGCAACTCTACACCCACAAAATGGCAAATCGTATACGAGAACTAAAAAAATTAAAAGGGCTGTGGACACATTATTAAAAAATTATTAATAAAAATATTTGTTTAAAATATAGCCGCAGTGCAAAACTGTAACATTTGACTTTTTTTTACATTTTAATTTGGCAAATTTCTTCCAGCGTATCAAATGGCTTCAAATTTTCAAAAAACCTAGTTAAATGATTCACCAACAAAACAAGACTAAGATCTTTAGCATGCATAAAACAGAAAACAAGCTACAGGCCGTTGAAGTGAGAGTACAGAAATAGTGTTACAGTTTTGCTCGTCAGTATACATAGGTCAATTTTTCCAAAGGCTTGAAAAATAAGCTGTTAAGACCTTAAAGGAAAAACCTCGACATTTGCGTGTTGAGTTGTAAATTCAAACTAAATTTTATTCTTAAATCAAAGGCTTATATCAGTTTTACAAAATATGTGTGTGGTACAAATGATATTCTATTCTTATAGCTAGACCCATGGAACTGCTACATTTAATGTCGGGTTGTTGAGTGCATGCAACGCAGTGCACTGTTTAGCTCTACACTTGATAAGTGGTATCTCCACTTGTGTGTTGCTTGTCGCGTATTTATTACCACACATCTTTGCACTTTCCTTCAAACGGTCGTAAATTATCTACTTTATGTACTACTTAATTTAAATTTAGAAATACTTAGATTTGTGTACAGAATCCTTTCTTAACGTACTCATGCATCGACATTTTCATTCTTGAACAGAAGCCGGTATGATATCATCAGCCAACTTAAAATGGCACCGAGCGAAGAAATATTTGAGAAAATTTCAATAGATTCTTTCAAGAACAAGGGCAATTAAATATTAAAGAATTTAAGAGTAGCGCTACTCAAGCTGGTGACCACAATAAAAGAAAAGAAAGAAAAAGAAGAGATACTGTCTACATTCCAGGACGATCCAACTCAAGGAGGTCATACAGGTATAGCTAAAACATTAGCGAAAATAAGAAGGTATATTGTAAAAAAAATGACACGCAAAATAACAGCTTATGTAAGAAAATGTCCAAAATTCCAAAAGTGCAAAAATTAGTTTTCGTAAGACTTTAAACTTACCAACACATTTTAATAGCATAGCTAGAATAGATGCACTTTATAATATAGATAATGCTAAGGAATCAAAATTTAGACTAGAACAAGCTTTTAAAAGAGCAAGATAAATGCTAGAATCCAATAAACAGAAACAAAAAATCAATTATGATAAAAACTGCTTAGATTTTTTGTTTAGTATATAAAATTATAACATTTTTTCTAATTATTAGTTTTATGTTTGGGCAATAGCAAACAATAGATTTGCGATACTATGTGTCCCAAATGAAGATGAGATCGCCCAAACACCCAAGGCAAACAAATTAGGACCGCCACCTATATATGTTCGACAGGAAAATTGTGCTGAACTGGTCAAAAAATAACTGATACAATTGGCGCAAACACATTCTATGTCACGTCCATAAAAAGGGGTAGCATAAATGTGGGATGCGGTAGTGATAGGGTAGTGCCAAGGAAGAACAGAAGCGGGAACACCATTAATCCTCTGTCTTTACCCTAAGATATCGATAGGAGTCGCGGACTCAGTTGCAACGTGAGAAAAGAGTGGCAACGTACCGCCATTCTTCATTCCCTGCCGAAATCTCGTACAAGACACAACGAAAATCATCTTTTAAAATGTCGAATAAGCTATAAACCTTTAAATAAGCAGTCATAGTTCTTCAAATAAAACGAAGGACTCTGCAAATTTGGGCGCTCAACCAGGATTATAGCCTACCATTCGACAAAGTTTGAGCTCAATTTTCGAATAAGAACGTGAAATTTTAAGACAATACGCAAAGGAAAGGCTGGAGAGGTCGGAATG